ATTGGGAATTTTCTTCCAGGGAAAGGTGGGCAATGTGGCCCAGCTCCAGTTATTGAGAATGGAGACATTCTTTCCTTCCCCATGCAAGAATATCCACTAGGAACAACTCTGGAATACAAATGCCCAAGTCTCTACATCCTAGAAGGATCTCAGTATATCACGTGTACTGATGGGCAGTGGACGACCCCCCCTGTTTGCCTAGGTAGGTTGAAGCATGTGCTGTGTGGCCAAAGGTTGTGTGACTGGTCCTGTTTTCTTTTTCTCAAATTCTGAAGAAATCAGTTGTGCAGCAGCACTTGTGCTGGGGCTGTGATGCTGGCAAGGCAGAACAGCAGTGAGTCATTTTGTCCAGGAGTTTCTTGAAATTGGCTTATGTAGTCCCCTTTGCTGCCTGCTGTCTCTTGCCACCACAGTGGGTTGGGTGGAGGGGAGTTTTGCTGAACCCCTCTGTGTGAGGGGATTGCCATCACTGTGCAGCGTGCCTGAGTGCTCCTGATCTGGCTACACTGCTATGGTCGGCAGCCTCTGAGTGGAGAGGGATGGTTCCAAGTATGTGGCAGTGCTGTGGAAATCCAAGGGAGCATCTACAACATGGCCATGAGGAATAGAACTTAGGGAAGTGCTGGACAGAGGCATAGCAGGAATCTCAAAAAAGACACAGGGAAGTTCATTGGTGCCTGATGACTTCTCGCACCTATGCTTTGATCTTGGCCTGTGTGACTGCAGAGTGAAAGGGCTTCTTCATAGCTCTGTGTGGGCTCTCAGCCATGATCTTTTTTTCTCTTTAGCTTGAACAAAGGGTCAGAGCAAATAGCTTGAAGTGTTTTGTGATGCAAAGAACTCCTGAAGGCTCTATGGGAAAAAAAGTTACCCGTGGTATGTCTGTATGAAGTGATGACACTCTTCTCTTGCTTTTTCAAGTGGCCTGCACAGCATCTGAAGAAGACATGGGCAGAAACAATATTGAGCTGAAATGGATCTTAAGAAGAAAGCTGTATTCCAGATCGGGTGACTTTATTGAATTTCAGTGTAAAAGAGGCTATGTGGAGGACCCAGCATCTTCCCCCTTCAGAGCACAGTGTGTGGAGGGGAGGTTAGAGTATCCACAGTGCAAGCCAGGAAGTAAGTTATCTCCACTCTGGCCACAGCTGAGTCACTGTGTTGTTGCATTTTCAGTGCTGAAGCTGAGGAGAAAGCCTTTAGCTCTGCTGCAGCAGCACCTGGGGAGGTAGTAGCAGGTGGGCAGGGCGTGGGACAGTCCTGTAAGCTGCAGGCATTGAAGAGCAGTGCCTCTAGGAAGCTGCTGGCTGGTACACCTGAGCTGGAAAGACTACTGGGGAAAGGGGCCTCAGGGCTCTCAGCTGGTATCAACAGTTTCAGAGCATCAGTTGTCCAGTGTGAGGTTGACAGACAAATAATGAAAGTACTTTTTCCAGAGAACTGTACAGTGAATGAAAGGATTATGGAAAGGAACAATATTCAACTACAGTCGTCAAGCTGGTCGAGCACTTCCACCTATCACTCTGGGGATTATATTTTGTTTGAATGCAGATGGTGGCACCGACAAGTTTCACGCCCTGAACGTTTTAGGGCAAAGTGTCTGGATGGAGAGATTAATTATCCTTCATGTGAAAGTAAGTGCTTGGTGCCAAGGACAAGGTGGGCTGTGGGAGGCAACTTTTCTGAAATTGCTTGTCCACTGCTCTGAGGAACCACTGTGGTCTTCATGCCTTTTCCCTCTTTTTTTTTATACTGCAGGGAGATTTGGATAAATGGGAATGGCATGAAGGAGCCCAGCATGAAGGATCTCTCAACTGACCCAGTGATCTGAGCTCAGTTTTTCCTGGTGTACCCTGTTTCACTGCACTTTGTTTGCAGCTTAGCCAATGTTCTGTCTTGGAATTAATGTTTTGTTTTGATTTTTCCTTCTTTATTTTATTAGATGATTGTGTTTACATGTTATCCATGTTTTATTCATTTCTGTAAATATATTTACATTTTGTAAATGTGTTTACATTTCATCCATCCAAGTGGTTGTGCTTACATTTTATCCATTCTATATTGATCTCACTGTTATTTTCATTAACAATTATGTTCTGAAATGGTCTGGCTTTGGCAGCACACTGAGACAAGAATTAAAGCCCACAGGTGATTTGATTATCAGCAAGTAAAGTGTGTTTGGCCTTGTTTGCTCCTAGCATCTTCTCTGTGTGCTTGCCTGGAAACTGCCGTGGGGTCATGGCAGAGGTGTGTCCTGACCTGATCAGGATGAGCAGGTGTGTGGAGTCTCCTTTAACTGACTCAGGGAAGTTTGTATATCTCAGACCCAGTTCTTATGGGAACTTGAGCCTCCCTGACATTTGCTGGAAGGGCAAGCTCTTGGGATGCAAGTAATTGGGATTTCTGGATGAAGATGGCGATGACTTCTCGGTCCAGGTCCTGGAATAATTTCTAGGAGAGTTTGTGATGCTGTCTTGGTGGGCCCAGGACTTTCTTGATAATTTTGGTAGTTGATCTCATGATAACATTGCTGCTGATGTATGGGAACAACTAACATGTTTGTGTATAATGATACAGCTGATGTGTTGCGAGGCAGGGGAAGGTTGAGGGAGTGTTTTTACTGCCTCTTATCTATTGGGCTTTGTAAATGATATGCAGTTTTTTGTCTTGCTGTTCACTTTTCTAAGACTTTTTAAAAGCCAGTGTGGGCAGCCCACCTGGCACTGTGCAACAAAGGTTGATTTTGTGTTAGTCTTTGGTGTCTTCATCTCAGAGGTTTTTTTCTTCCACCTCATCTAATTCTACGAAGGTAATGAAAATCAACTGACCCAGAATGTGCTGTATTTGTGTATCATTAGAGGAGACTATCTCAATATTCACACTGGAGTATTAATATGCGTTAATTACTCTCTCTAAGGAAATTAGGTGAGAAATACTTCTTCTCTTGTTCCTTTTGCTAGATGATAAGGGAGATCTCAGAAGAGCTAAATTTTTGCTTTCAGAGCCTCATAACCAAATAACTGAACATATTTTCTTAGAATAAGATGTGAAGAGAGCACAGGCAAGCTGACTTCCTGACCACAGACAGGTCTTTTGTTGCAGAGATATGGGGAAGAGGGGGCCCTTCAGCTCACGACCAGATAAATCAATGCTGAAGGTCCTTTAGAACAGTGGGCTCCAAAGTGGGTTACATGGATTCAGAGGGTTTGGGAGATCATCCATTGGGGTACAGGAAGAAAATGTTAGAACTTATATATATATTTATTTTAAAGATATATTAAATTTTACTGATATTTACTATTCAGGTTTGATAGTGGTGATTTCACTTGCTCCATATGTCAGAGGGTTCCATGTCACACATGGTGCCAATTTGTTCTGGTAGAAGAGTGGGTGCTCCACAATGCAGAGGCGTTCACAGTGGCACCCTCACACATTTGTTCACTTTCAACATACTGCAATGCATTGCAATTTGTGTGCCCGGTTAAGTGCATTTGTAGATTATATTTAGTTCTAACCAAACTAAACCTCACAAAATGGAAAAGTGACTTTAAAAATATTTCTTGCAAAGAAACTGCAGAGAGAAGACAACACACAAGCAAAGAACAAGAAAGTGGTAGAGCTGAGATTTCTACTCCTAGTATAAGCTCTTCATCAACCACATTGAGGTAAAAACAATGTCTCTATAATTGCATCTGGCTGTAAGTACATAAAACAATTTGAAATTGTGAAGAAGACTATTTGAAATATGTATTTAAATCTGCTATTGTTAACTATGAACCTTACCCTTAGTATATTGTGTCTTAGATGTTAGCTAATGCGAGCAAGAAGTTTTAAAACAATAAGCATCCAGAAGATGGATTTTACTAAACTTAATGGTAAGTTAATTCTTATTAAGTTAATTCCAGATTCTTATTCTGCAATTCTGTGCCTAACTATCCAGAAAGCCAGTAAATGTTCAGGACTGTTAAAGGGTTAAATGGAAGTTTTAGTTATGTTGATGGTTATTTTATTAAATGTTATTCTAGTCCCACTGTTTGCTAAGTCTTTTTCTACTTCCAGATACAGTTAGGAGATCAGAAACACTCGGGCTTACACATCACTGAGCCTCATTTGCACTATATGTTCCACATACATTAAGCACAGCATTTTGACAGATGTGCTTTCAGCATCCCACCCACACTAGGACAAGAGCATGCCTGAGCTTTGCTTCTTGACTTGCATGATTTTGCTACAGATCTAGTATTATTATGTAAACACCCTTCATGTTCAAGGGAAATAGAGTCTTATTCTGCTATCTTTCACAGACACAGGAATGACTAGACATAGAACTCGGAGACTGAGATGAATTTTTATGTATTTGGGCCTCAGCACAAATATTTTCTGGGTGCATAGCAAGCCTAGATGGCAGCTGTTAAGATGATAATACTCAATACACCAAAATTTACTGGTTAAAAACTTATTGCCAATCATTTTGTTACATTATTTCTTAACTGAGAAAGACTCACCAATTCACATTACAATCATTGTTCATAAAATTACCTAGAAATAAAAGCTATAATGAACAGCTAGTTCAGACCTACATGTCACATATCAAAAGTTCATGACATTAAATTGCTAAATCTCAATGTTATTTGTCTTAATTTTTAAATACCACTTTACAAAGCAATAACTGTAATATTTTGAAAGCATTTTGGAATGCTATTGTAAACAGCACATTAAATACTATTTTTATCAACCTTTTTTCCCCACCAAATGGATGACTGGGTTTTGCTCAAATAAGGAGAATTTGCTTATTTCTTGAATGGTTTGATTTCTTTTTTTGTTTTATTTATTCACTTTGCACTCACAAAGGCCTTGGAAAACCATACAGAACAGCATACATGCAATGATATCCCAGAAAGATTGAGTTTAGACATAAAATACAGAAGAAGCCCTTACAGTGGCTTTTTTATTAAAACATACTAAAATGAATGAGAGGCAACATTGTCCATATTTCTGAATTTTCTTCATACCTTCAGTGTCACAACATGTTCACAGGCAGAGACCCAAGAGTACCAATGTCTGAGTGTCATAGGAAATCATTCCAAGTAGTTGGACTAGGTATTTTAGTAATTCAAATGCTTTCAATTAACAAAGATGCTTGCTTGACTTTTTCAAGAACAATAATTAACTACTCAGTAGAATTTGCATATTTTTAGGTTTTAAATGGTTTCATAGATCCCTTAAACACATTTTGTTTTAATACTTACTTTCTTGTCATTCACTATTGTCCTTTAGAGGCTTCTTACCTGTGAAAGGAGATATGGGTGCTGTTAAGAAGTACAAAATAACAGGCCTCTCCTTTTTCACTGCAGTTTATCACTGTAAGCCTGATAAAACGCCTGCATCCTAGATTTTCCATGTGCATGCCAATACTGCATCCTTCTGCTGCATTCCCAGTCCTCATAGCACAAAGCACTTTCACTTCCCTCCCACTTCAGCTGAGACTCAACAGTGCCATTGAACATTCATTTCTCAAAGCTGACTGTAATGATCTTAAAAACAGGAGGCCATCTTAATTCAGCTGTTAATACTAGATAATGAACATGTACACACCTTTTCTCTAGGCTTTTCTGAAGTCCATACTTATTTTCCTCTTTCAACGCATCTTGGATACGTTAGCTGTCCTCTCTTACACTGCACTTGAAATAAAGTTGTACCAGATTCTGCTCCAAAATGGTTCTGTTTACAGTAAAATCCAACATAATCCCCATGGTAAAAGTAAACTTGATCCTCATAGAATCCATGCAGCAACACATTATTTTTTTCCATTTCAGTTTTTGACAAAGTACATGGCTCTAAAGAAAAGACACAAAAGCATTGTTAATTAATTGATTATTTTTGAAATTGCATAATTTTGACTAGTCTACACTAAACCTGTAGATTATTTCCCATTCTCTTAATATACATGAAATCACTGTATTTATGGGTACTGCAGGCATGTCATATTGAAGAAAAAAAAAAAAAAGAAGCCAGACTTGCTTACACTTGCTTCTCTTAAAACTTTAATCTCTAACTGAAAAAACTTTAAGTTGAGATCTTAAATTTCTAGTTGTCAATACTCAAATTATAAATTCTAAGAATCTGAATTATAGAAAGAAATAAGT